GAGTACATGGCTAGCCTAGGTCGATTCAAATTCCCTTGTACTCGTATTTATATTCCTGTACTTGCATGTTTTTATTATCTCAAGCATTTTACATCCACTCTTCTATTGAGGTCAAGGGCCCACCACCACTCCTCATACCGTCATCGCCCGGATAGTAGACATATATGTCTTATCTCGTACACTACTCAAAATGCTTGGGTTACCTTGTACTTGGGATGGTTTAGGGTGTCTTATAAGTCTTCTAAATGGAAAAAAAAAAATAAGTACTCTGTAACATTTGCAAAGTGTGTAGAAACCACCCAGGGGCCAGATTCATTGAAACAGGACGACCTCGGTGGCGATGCATGCAGCGCCCCCACTTGCCACGTGAGGGATGCGACAAAGCTGCCACTGGTGGCAACATCCCTCCGTGCTGGCAGCATCTAATGATGACAACAACGTCGTTTTGCTGCCAGCAGCGCATGGATGCTTCCATAACGCTGCTGGCAGCACGATGGCAGCGCGAGGGCTGTCCTCTGCGAGGAGGTTCCTCGTAGAGGAGCAGCTCGACACCTTTGGAAGGGGCACTCTTGCTGGGGGGGGGGTAGTCGGGCTTGAGCTTCATTTGGTGCTCAAGGAGGTTGGGATCTCAACTCAACCTTTGCTCTCGTCAGGCTTACCGTAACCATGCGCAGAAAAGTCTCCGTAGGCACGTCCTCACCTCGCCCTCACGTGCAGGTGAATAACTACGGGCGAATTTACTCGCCCGGTGATGACATGCGTGTAGCCATGGCGAAGAATATGCGCAAGGCAGGAACATCTACCGCCGCCTCTGGTGCGAGCTGTGATGGGGACGACGGCGACGAAGAACACGGCGACGACGTCGAGGAGGATTGGCCGGAGAACGGCCACGACGAGAGCGCTTCGGTGGATGAAATAGCTCCTGCCGACATCGACGAGGACGACTGGTGGAATCGGCCGGTTGGGAGTGAGGACGAAGTGGAAGAGTGGCGTCTGGTGATTCGGACAACGACGAGGGTGCCGATGCTGATGGTGAGCCCGCGGAGGCAGCAGCGCATGCAACGGGAGCGACGGTGGATGCGAATGCGGAGGCTGACGACGAGGCGGATGCGGAAGCGAGGACAGAAGAGGAGGCGGAAGTGGATGCCGATGCTGTTGCGCCCGCGGATGTGGCCGCAATTGCGGATTCAGATGCGGATGCTGTGGCGGAGGCGGATACGGATGCTACGGAGGGAGGTGCTGATGCTGTCTTATTTGGCGGTGAAAACTCCGATGACGACCCGTGGAACATCATGGGTGACGACGATGTTCCGCTTCTTAAGCGGAGGCTGCGTCATCGCCTACAATCCAAGCCGAAGCGTGCCCGCGTGGTGCTCTCTGATGACGACAGTCCGGAGAAGGAGCGTCAACCGCGCTTCACTGCTGCATACAAGGGGAAAAGCAAGGTCGCGGAAGCCCCTGCTAAGGCCACCGTTCTTCGCCACACAAGCAACAAGAACGACGGCGACCTCGGATCCAGCACGGGTGCTGCTAAGAAGAAGAAGAAGAAAACGCCAAACAAGGACGACATCGTGGTCAACGAGGCGCTCGGCAGCGACGATGACTACGCGGAGGCTGCAGGCCCGATTTCTTCATTCCCTGAGAAGGCGAAGTCGAAAGACCCCACCCTCCATTATCCCAACTCCCGTCCACCTTCCCCTCGCAGCAAGGACAGTAAGAAAAGGCGACGCGGATGGACCGTACGCAAGAAGCTCAAGTGGGCGCGCCGCTATCACGAGCTCGGCTCCTTGAAGAAGACATCCGTGGAATCTACGGCATCCATCGCCTGCATCAGACGCTGGTGTGCGGAGGCGGCTGCGGGCGTCTACAAGGGAGCGGCGAACTGCCGCAAGCGGATGCACGGGGGGGGGGGCGCCACGCACACTACCCCGACATGGAGGCGGCGTTATACCGCTACGTCTGTCTGCAGCGCGCTAATGGGGTGGAGATCTCGGTGAAAGACACCCAGAAGTGGAGCCGCGAGTGGATGAAGAAACACCACCCCGGCAAGAACTGGAACGCGAACTCTCACTGGAGCCAGTGTTTCCGTGACTGCTGGAACCTGGTCATGCGTGTGAAGACCAAGGTCGGCCAACGGTTATCGGCTGGTGAGTGGTAAAGGCCTTGAATTCGCGCTCGATGTTTGACTGCATGTTCCTCGCCCTTTGTTTCTAACCATCCCCTCCTGTCGTGGCATGTGTTCCCTTTGCAGAGTGCGGTAAGGACTGCGAGTCGTTCTGGAAGTTCGTGCGCATCAACAGGGCGCGGCACAACATCGACCTGGCCCGCATCATCAACGCGGACCAGACGCCCCTCTTCGTTGAGATGCCGGCCGAGAGGACGATCGAGCACCGTGGCGCGCGCTCGGTCCCAATCCGCACTGCAGGATACGAGAAGACTCGGCTCATGGTGATGCTCGCGTGCACCGCATCCGGGGAGAAGCTGCGCCCGTGGGTTTGGTTCAAGCTCAAGAACGTGCCCAACTGTGAGATTCCGGAAGGTAAGCTCAAGGAATTCGGGAGCCGTAAGGCTGATGAGCTTGCCCTCCTTGGCTGACGCCCGTCTATCCCCTATGTGCCTGGCAGGAATCGTATGCCAAGCACAGGACAACGATTGGATGGACGAGAGCGCCGTGCAGACCTGGCTGACCAAGGAGGTGCTGCCCCATCTGAACCCCCAGCGCGGCCAGAACGCAAGGCGTGCGATGCTGGTGTTGGACTCCTACCGCGGCCACATCACCCAGGCCATGCTTCAAGCTTACCGCACGCACAGCATCACCCCTGCAGTGATCCCAGCGGGTTGCACGAGCCAGATTCAACCCCTTGACGTCTCCATCAACCGATGCTTCAAGGCTGCTGTGCGAGCGCGTTACGCCAGGTGGTTCATGCGTGAAGGGATTCACCTAAAGATGAAGGCGGGTGAGTAGCCTTTTGAATTAAACTTCTGCGCTGTTCTCATTCCATGACTCTAACAGCTCGCTACCTCTGCCTCTGTCCCACTCGCAGGGAACCTGCGGCGGCCTCCGCACCCCGTGGTGCTGCAGTGGATCGCGGATGCGTGGGATCAAGTTCCCAAGAAGGTCATCATTGAAGCGTTCCGCCACTGTAGGATTTCAAGCAAGCTGGACGGGACGGAGAACCACCTGGTGATGTCTTACCTGCGCGTCAGGAGCACCACCGATGTCTCCGAGGACATGTGCCTCGGGGGAACCATGGGCGACAACACGCGCCTGCTTGGGCAGGCTCCAGAGGAGGAGGAGGAGGAGGAGGAGGAGGAGGAGGAGATGCAGGCGGAGGGCGTGAGGGAGGTGGCAGTGGCAACCGGCTTGGATGTGTTGTACCAGGAGACCCCCAACTACCGCGGAGCGGCGGCTGAGGCTGACCGCATGATCGAGCCTAGGGAGACGGCTAGGCATGCCTGGCGAGTGCAAGACCTGGGTGTTAGGGAGCCTGTTGTTAGTGCAGGTGAGGAGGCCGTGACTGAGTAGGGCTAGGTAGAAGTAGAGATTCATAGATGTGTACATGTACCCCCCTAAAGTAACTAATGTTCGTTTAGAAGACACCCCCCTGTTTATAAGAAAACCCCTAACCCCTGCTCTGATTATAAGACATATATGTCTTATCTCGTACACACAAATAGGTGTCTTATAATGAGGCTAGCCTGTTTAAAAGAGACAGCCGGATAATAGACAACCCCTGTCTACTATTCAACACTGTCTACTATCCGGGCGATGACAGTATGTGTGCGAACCTTCCTGAGGTGATCCTAGGGACGATCAACATTAGATCGCGACAGCTTGGTGTCGCTTCGATTCTTCTGACTCCTCGACTTCGTACTCGGTAAAGTCGGCTCCTGCAGCATAGAGGAATGCCTTACTCATTTTTCATATCGTAACACACGCACGGTACAGTCCCAGTTACGTTTTCTGAACGTGACTCAATGGTAAAACACCACGGAACCCTCAACAGACTCATACAACGTTCCAAGTAGGACCATATCATCCCACGTGCGTTTCACTCCCATCCAATCTCTTCAGGGCACTAAAAACTAGTACCGTACCTGTCTGAACCGTATACCGGCAACGTAATCCAAAGCAAGAACAGAACACATAGGTACCAGTAGCACACACTTCAATCTGCTTTGACCGCGACCGCCGACCGTCTGCGGCTGTAAAAAAACCAAAATCTACAAGTCATCCGTCCTTCATTCCATTCATCATACGGTAATTGTCAAACTGCCCCTACCACAGTAGTAAATAGTACTGATACCGGTATATGGTATGAGTTAGGCTATCATCAGTGTAGTCTACCTACTTAGTGAACCCATCAAGGGGCAGATGCAGCCCCCATACTGTACTCGGATGGGTGGGGCGACATGGCAGAAAGAGTCAAGAAGAGTACCATGCCATGCCGTACTCTGTGCAGGCACCCTAGACATGCCACATGACAGCACAGCACATCACCTCACATCACATCACATGATACAAGGTGCTGTTGCTCGTGACGGTACCCAGCACCCGCACCAGCACCTAACCCTAAACGCACACTCTTCACTCTCACTCTCCATCCTCTCGATTCGTTACATCCATCACCACCCTCACCCCCACTATCTCCCCACTAACCGTCAACAACCGCACAACACACCCTCATTCCCCACTGCTCACTCCCTCTCCTCCCACACACACACACCCTAGTTGACTTTTGAGTCAGCTCAAAAGTCAACCCCACACCTACACCCTCTCCCTCCCCTTTGCTTTCCACAAAGCAAACCACCCAGAACCTACCAGGATACCCGCCCCAAACTGGTTCACAACCCTCACCCCTGTCCCCCCTAGCAGAAGTTCCACCAGTTCTGGCACACCAGGCACGTGACAGCACCGACATACGTGGTCATGGGCTCATCCGCACTGCACAGCTTCTTCCCAGACGCCTCAGAATTTTCCCCTCTCTCTCCCTCTCTCCTTAGCAGAACTTCCACCGGTTCTGGCACACCAGGCACGTGACATACGTGGTCATGGGCTCATCTGCACTGCGCGTCTGCATCTGGAAGTACGTGGTCTTGCGCTGTTTGCACTTGCCGCACTTGAACATGTCTGTCGTCGCACCCGTCGTCTGCCCGCGCATCGCCTCAAACGTCTTCTTGCGCTTCACCTCCTCGTTCTCGCGCTTGCGCGTGTCGCTCGCCATGTCCTCGGGGGACATAACGGCGAGCTCAACCGCGGATACGTCGCCTAGTAGCACGCGCCGCCGCAGGTCCGGGTTCGAGGGGTCCTTTAGGTTGAATGATATGGACCGGAACTTGTTCTTGTAGTCCTGGTGGGGGGGAAGGGAAGGTGTGAGGGGAGGGGTTTTGTGGGGGAAGCAGGGGATTGGTAGGTTGAGTTCTGTTTTGCCTTGATTCCAGGGGCTCTTGAGGTCGAACAAGATGGACTGGAACTTGTTTTTGTAGTCCTGGTGGGTGAAGGGGAGGGAGGGGAGAGGGTAGTGGGGGTTAGGAAGGGGTCGTGACTCGTGAGGGGGCACATTGATAAGTGGAGTGCTGAGACGACTTGAATTTGAGGGATTGGGATGCTGAACGAGATGGAACCGAACTGTGGGTTGCTTTTGTACTACAGGAGCAGTGTGAAAGCGAGGAGCGAGAGCGAGATTGCACGGGTTGGCATAGAGATTCTTTGAGCTTTTTCAACATACGCACGTCCCCCCATTTTTAAGTGGAGCGGTGGGGGGAGGAGGGGAGGAGCGGGAGGGGCTGATAGGTTGGCAGGCGTGGGGATGTGGAGAGAGGGTGTTGGTGTGGAGAGGGAAGAGGAGGAAGAGGAGGGGGAGGAGGAGGAGGAGGAGGAGGAGGAGGAGGAGGAGGAGGAGGAGGAGGAGGAGGAGGAGGAGGAGGGGGTGGATGTGGAGAGTTATCAAACCAGCGTCCCTTTAACTTACCGATTTCTGGCTTAGGCTCTCCCCCCCACGCCTCAAAACCCCAACCCTCCAACCCCTAACCCCTCTCCAACTCATCCCAGCTCACCCACACTCTTTCCCTAACCCCTCTCTCCTCCCGCCCCCCTGCACCTTGAGGTCCTTGGTGGTGCCATACTTGCGCCACAGCTCATTCTCAACCTCCCAACCCCCAAACCCCCCCAACCCATAGCCCTCTCCAACTCATCTAACTCATCCCAACTCATCCCAACTCATCCAAACTCATCCCAACCCCTCTCCTGAACATACCCCCCCCGCCACCCCGCACCTTGAGGTCCTTGGTGGCGCCATACTTGCGCCATAGCTCCGTCTCGACCTCCATAGCCACAGAAGTGACATCCACGGCTCTAGCGCGCTCCTCCTCCTCCCCTTGCACCTCCCCCGCTACCAGGCACAGCGCCTGCAGCACTGCCTCGCGCGGCCGATCTCTCATCACGTCCCCTGTTTTGATCAGCATCTTTGTTTTGAACGGCACTGCTGCTGCGCCTCCTGCGCCTTTCGCTTTCTCCGCCACGTTCCCCTTCGCTCCGTCTCGTTCCTTCCCCCCGCTCGCGCCGTTTGCGCCGTTCGCACCGCTTCCCCCGTTACCCACGCTTTTCCCGTCCTCTGTCGAGTCGTCTCCGCCCCGCCCCGGTTTCCCCCCTTCCTTCCCCCCATCAGATCCCCGTTCCGACTCTCCTGACCTCTTCCTCTCCCGCTCCCCCTCTTTCCTCCCCCGTTCCTGGTCCTTCTCCTTCCCGCCTCCCCCGCCCCGCGCCTCTGCGGCAACCACCTGTTTCCACTGCTCCACTAACTTCCCCGCGCCTTTCTGAATCCCCGCGCACGTGTGCTTCGTCAGCTTGCGGATCAGCTTCCCCATCTGCGCGCGACATTGCGGAACGGGGAAACGGGGAGGGGGGAGGGAACGGGAAGGCAGGGGGGGGAGGGAGGAAGGAGCGGAAATGGGAGACGGCGGAAGGGAAGGGGTCACACGAGCGCAGGGAGGTCAGTGGGATGGAAACATATGCGGACCAAACTGAAGTGCTTCCGCTGAAGTATCTTTCCGCTTATGCGCGTCTCCGCTTCAGCGCGTTTCCGCCTAAGCGAGTGAGCGCCATCCGCGCATTGTCGTCGATAGCACGGCCGTGCGGCGGCGCGGCGCACCCTAGACGCGCAACAGCCGCTTCTCCCCTTCCCACCCTAGTCATGCTTTGGAAATGGGGACACAACAATCTTTGAAGCGGGAAGCGAGGACAATCGCACCTGCGTTTCCATGAGAATCTCCGTGCTGACGTGGCAGTCCGCCATTTGCGCGAGCAGATCCAGCGCGCGGTCCTCGTCCGCCGGCGAATCCGCCGCCTTTCCCGCTGCGGTCTGCAGCTTGTCGTAAAGCTCTAGAAGCTCCTTCCCTTGCGCTGACTTGGCCATGTTGCCTCTACTGGATTCGAACAGTAGATGCTGCTGCTGCAGATGCTGCTGCTGGTGGTGCTGCTGCTGCTGCTGATGATGATGCGACTACTGCTCGTACAAGAGATTCCGACTGCGCCTGAATCGACGCGTTTTTTTGGAGAGGGGATTTGAAAGGGCCCGGGCGGCGGAAAGTACACGCAACAGCGTCACCCGGAGCAAAAATATGATAAACTAAAACCCTCCAGGGACGGGACGTGATAGCTGATTCGGCAACACCTTGGATACCCCGTGGAGTAATAGGTGATCAATATCAAAACGATGCGTTACGCGGCGACAGCATTAGTAGTGCAATTGCCCCGCGAAGTCCGGCGCAAGATACGGGTCAGAGATTCGTCGCGTCGGCGGACAACAGGTGACCAAGGTCTTGATATGATGCGGGCAATAAGAGACGCGGTTCGGGAAAAGTTACGTGAAATCCGCGGTTGGCTTGGCCGAGGTACCGCAGTGCAATGTTAAGAAGCATGTGCAGGCGAATGAGCAGGAAGGTTAATGAATGCGCCTTGAGAAGTGGTGGGTCGGAATGCCGAAGGAACCAGGAGCAACGCGCGCTCGCTGGCAAGAGTATGAGACGACTAGCTTACTTGAAGCAAGCACGACGTTAGCGTCTCGCGCTCCGGTGTCACGCAGCGCGGTGTGGGAGGAGGCAGCCCGGTGTCACACGCAGCAAGGAGGTGAATGCGGCTGTGATGGATACCGAAGTCAAGTGAGAAGTGAGAGGCGTGGCGGCTGGTGGTGTTGGTGATGAGGGCTGGAGCGAGTTGAGGTGAGATGAGAGACTCGAGGGAGACTCGAGGCGGTGTGGGCCTTGAGAGGTTTGGATGGACTCGTTAGGGTGTTTCTCCCTGATAAAACCTTAAACTAACATTCGTCTGGGGTTTCGGCCGTTTGGGCCTCCTCCTCCCTAACACCCCCTTCCCTTGCATCAAGCAACCAGGTGAAAGAATGTAGCAAAATGCGTTTTCAAAACACGAAGACTTTGGGCAGCGTCTTGTGCGTTTTCTACTGCAGAGTCAAGTCACTCTAGTAAACACTCTTGCTGGACCGAAGTGCGACGTTAGAACGGCCTCCAAGAAACTGGGTCTGACACAAGCGGATCTTCTAGAATCGCTGCTGCTTGACATACCCGTTCCGATATTCGAAATGGAGAACAACAAAAACAAATGTATACTGAAGAAAGGGACGTCCTTCAATTTCACCTTTTCTACGCTTGCATAAAAGACCACGCGGCTTGTATGGACCTCGTTACAAGGGTTCCGCGTCGCAGAAGTCTGCTGGATCGGCACGTCAACAAACATAGGGCGAGGCAGCACCTCACTTTGATCCCCTGAGAAACCTCCAAACCAAACCTGCCTCTTGCACGCATGTCACCCGCGATGTTCCCAATATACTGCCTGAACCTCATTGAAACAAGTGAGGCTCGGTTACCCAACACTTGACTCTAGTGTACCAGAATCTAGGTGGAGAAAACCTAGAGCTTGTTTGCGGAGATTAACTCTACAATGGTGGGGGAGCTAGTGTTAGAATTATATTGTTATAACTGCATGTAGTTCTATCTGTAGTGTAGTTATCCTAATTTCCTGCTTGGTGGTGAACCCCCTTTCCTCCCCTATTTGTACTTCACTCTATATAGTGAAACCATTCTTTCTTGCTCCAATTCTCTCGATAGTCATGCCTAACCTAAACCCTAGGATGGCTCCAAGTCTCACCCTCTAGCTACTATTCTGACATGGTTCCAGAGCTGGTTCCATCCTGGAACCTTCCTGTAATTTTAAGAGATATGGACCCACACGCGCGCGGCCCGTTCTGCCCTGCGTCCCGTCCCGTCGCACCCACAGCGCCTGCCCGTCCCGTCCCGTCGCGCCAGTGGCGCCTGCCCGTCCCGTTGCGTCGCGCCCGAAGCGCCCGCCCATACCGTCCCGTCGTGCCTGCTGCTCCCGCCCGTCCCGTCCCATCGCGCCTGCTGCACCTGCTCGCCCCATCCCGTGCGCTGCCCCTTCGCCCCGCCGCTGGTCGTGAACTCCAGCGCGCGCACGTCGCTGGCGCAAGCACCTTCTACAGTGGGGAGATGAGTGGGTGGCGGGCTGTGGGAGGAGATGCAATGAGGGGGTGGTGAGCTAGATGCTGTCAAGCCAGCAGCCGCCCCTCCTCTCTCTCTCACTGTCGAACGTGCAGCTGTGGGGGGGAGGGTAAGAGAGAGTGGCGGACGAAGCAGCCACACATATGCAACTGCCGACCTCTGTGTCGAGAGTAAAGGGAAAAAGTTGGTGCACTATCGAGAAAGTTGGGTACAAGTAACAAAAAACTATACCCTACAATAGCTACCCAACTAAAGCCTACATTCTATTATGACATAGGCATATAATTTGACACACCCCCATAGGCAAAGTGGGGGAGAGTAAGGGGTCACAAGACCAGTCAAGAGAAGCAAAGCAAGCTCAGGGGGGATCACAACGTCACCACACACACTGAGCACAAGCAAAGGGCCACAAGGCCAATCCACGTGCAGAGGTATATATGCAACAACAATAGTACAGTGATCTCTACTTAGCAGAGCAAGCATGAAGGAATATATATAGATCACAGTATAAGCAAAGTCTACAGCAAGTGAGGAAAAGTGGGCACAAGGCCTAACAAATTGCAGAAACGCTGATGATCACCAGACGGAAGTGCCTTGGTGAATATATCAGCAGTGTTGGCCCGAGTGGCCACGTGTGCAAGACGAAGCTGACCACGCTGCTGCAACTCTCGAGCCAAGAAGTAACGCAGAGCGATGTGCTTCGTTCTGTGCTCCAGTCTGTGCTCCTGACACAAGGCAATGGCGGCCTTGTTGTCGACGTACAGCACTGGAGGAGAACGAGGCCGCTCTCCCAAATCGGTCAGCAGGTAGGTGAGCCAGCGTAACTCCTGTGCAGCCATGGCTGTGGCGTAGATCTCAGCCTCACAACTGGAGCTGAGAACTGAAGACGAGCGTGTAGAACGCCAAGAAACTGAACCAGAGCCAAGGCTGAAGGTGTAACCCTGTGACGAACGGTGCGTAGCCTGGTCGTCAACCCAAGAAGCGTCCGAGTGACCAGTGAGGACAACGTCGCCCCGTCCTCCAAGCACGAGCCCCATGCCCGATGTACTGCACAAGTAGCGCAGTACCCTCTTAGCAGCATCCATGTGCACCTTTCGGTGCCGACCAGGAGCCACGTAGCGAGCCAAAAGGCCAAGAGGGTACGCAAGGTCAGGACGAGTGCAGGTCATCAGGTACATGAGGCAGCCCACTGGCTCTGGGTAAGGACCACTCGGCTCTACGGACTCGTCCGAAGGTGGAGCTGAGAGCGAGTGACCTGTAGCCAGAGGAGTGGCCTGTGCTGAGGACCAGGTGAAGCCGAAGCGCTGAAGGACCTGCTGCACCATGTGTGACTGAGTCAGTGTGATGGTGCGGCGTGCTCTGTCCCGGGTGATCTGCAAGCCAAGGTAGCTGCGCAGTTCACCCAGGTCTATGCACGTGTGTCTCTTCTGCAGCTCCGACTTCACCAGGGCGAGAGCCTCAGTGTCAGCAGTGGCAAAGACCAAGTCGTCGACGTACACGAGGATGTAGAACGGCGGCAGCGAAGTGTCGGTGCGCAGAAATAGCGACGGGTCAGCAGTCGACGGAGCAAACCCAAGAGCCGCAAGTGTCGTCCTCAGTGTGTCGTGCCACTCACGTGGCGCCTAGCGGAGACCGTAGACCGGCCGCCGGAGGCTCCACTGGGTACCAGGAGGGAACGACCCAGTGAAGCCAGGTGGGCGACGCAGCCAGATCTCCTCGTGCAGGCTGCCCTGCAAGAAAGCTGTGCTGAAGTCAAGAGAGTGAAGCTCGTAGTCACGCTGAGCGGCAACGTGCAGCAGCACCCGAAGAGTGGTCATCTTCGGGGTGGGGGAGAAGGTCTGGAAGAAGTCAACTCCCTCTCGCTGACTGAAACCTCGAGCAACGTAACGAGCCTTGAAGACATGCAGAGAACCTGGCGGCCGCTTCACCCTGAAAATCCACATGCCACTGACGATGTTCGCCCCAGGCGGGGGAACCTCGTCGACGTAGGTGCCTGTGGACTTCCAGGAAGCCATCTCTGTGTCCATGGCTGTCTGCCACTGAGAGGAGTAGGGACCCTCTATCGCCTCTGCGTAAGAGCGCGGGGTCGGGATGTCTGGAGCATCCGGGTCTCCCTCAGGGGCAAGCAGCATGGACACGAGATGAGGCGCAGCGGCTGCAAGACACTCAAGGTCCTCCTGCCTGTCCTCAAGGACGTCCGTGCCAAGAGCACACTCACCCCCGACGGACGGAGGACAGACAGACTCAGACGCAGCAACAAGACTAGCGGCGTAGTCTAGACGACAGGCAGCATCAAAGTCAACAAGCTCAGCGACTAAGGCAGACGCAGCAGTAGACTCAAACGACGGGTCAGTGACAACTGTGGCTAGCAGACGCGTGACAGTAGGGTGAGTAGCACGAGCACGGTCAGACTCAGGCTCAGGTACGGTAGGCAGAGAAGACGCAGGAGGGGACGACGGACTACAAGGTGGGTGCCGAGGACAGCCGGCTGACACGAACAAGGAACACGACGACCGGAACGACCAGAACGGACAGGCGAGACAGGACGCGACGCAGGCTCACGACGCTCAGTAAGACCCCCTGTCTGCTCAGTGTAAGGAGAAGGAGCAGGCAGCGGTGAGCCAGGCTGTAACGGAAGACCAGTAGACGAAGGGAGACTAAGAACCTGGCGAAGCACAGAGTCAGACGGTGGCTGAGACGTCGGAGACGGTGGAGCAAAGAACAGGCGCGGCTGTGCAGTGCTACCAGCACCAGCAGCTCCAGCACCCCCAGTAGTCCCAGCACCTCCAGCAGCTCCAGAACCCTCAGCTCCAGCTCCTCCAGGACCAGCTCCACCAGCAACAGCACCCCCAGAACCGGCACCTCCAGTCCCAGGGTCTCC